CAAAGGCAAATAAGAAAATTTATAACTCAAATAAGAAGTACGAGTACAATCGAGCAATCAAATGATTACAAATCCAGGATATTCCAAATCCAAGCTACTCTAGATACACGAGAGAGCAACATGTTCTCCCCCTCAAAGACCAACATGGTCAAAAACAAACTAAAAGGATAAAATTAAAAAAACTTAAAAGAAAAAACACCACAGGAGTTCATGAGCATGTTTGTTTATGGAATTTTCCAAAAAATTTCCAACATTTTAATTCAACCACTTTTTTTATCTCAATTTTAACTCAACCCCACTTTCATCGAAATTAACAATATAATTAAATAATATCAATCAATCACTCATACATACCACATCAACCTTAATTCACTATTCATCCACTCACATTATTTTAACTAACCATCACTTCAAATCTCTCTCTCATACTTTTACATCAAATCAATTTTAATTATTTTATTTTAAATATTATTTTAATAACTCACTAACAACTAACCATACCACATTTTTTAAAATTAAAAAACCAAATCAAAAAATCTAAACAAAATCAAATTTTTTTATAAACAAACATGCTCAAATATCTAGCAACACTGTTATGCAACAATTCCCAGGGGGAATGGCTTTGTTCAAAATTTTAACTACCACTTCATTGTTCAGATAGCCCACAGCAGCTTCTGAGTTTGTTTCTTTGAATTTCCTCAACCCCCATTGAACTGCCAACATTGTTGCATTTGTCACACCTTCTGATTCTCCTGCTTCTGATATTTGGCCTTGCCATTGAACCTGATCTCTTGAGTTCTGGGATGCAACACACTCTACTTCAGTAATTCCATTTGCAGCTGAATGAGCACTGATAGCCAACCAAGGCTTACCTACCCTTTGAAGTGTATCATCTGCAATGTGAATTTTGCCTGTAGCTGCATGATGTGTCTCCCATTCCAACCATTCTGAATAGGCTCTCCCAACTATTTCCCTTTCATTGAACCAATCTCCTTTAAATACCCACTTGTCTGGCCTTCCACAAGTTCCAGAGTAAGTAGGTAGATAAAGTAATTCTTCTTTTGAGACTAGCAGACATACCATTTGAGGTTATTTCCATCTACCACCTCTGAAATTCCATATCGTTGTGCTGCATTAAGTTCAACTGAATCCCAACCAGTTTCCAACAGATTTTGGCTTTAGGGCAAGCAAATAGCAGGTGATTTAAATCTTCATTCCCCTCCCCACACACTCTGCACACTGGATCCACAATCATCCCTTTTCTAATTAATCTGCCATTCACCCCTACATAACCAAACCAACACCTCCAGATAAACAATTTAACCTTTGGTTTTAAATTTAGATGCCAGCAAGATTTCCACATTCTTCTCCACCAATGTGGGCTTTCACTAGAGGAAGCCTGAGTCCCATGATTGGCCTTAGCTGCTAATATGGTGAGAACACTGCCTTAACAGAAAATTCACCCTTGTTGCCCCAATGCCAAACCAACCTATCTTGAGTTCTATGACTATATAAAGGAATTTGAAGAATATAAGCTGCATCTATTGGATCAAAAGTTTGATGAATCAGCTCCCTGGATTAAAAGTTTGATGAATCAGCTCCCTGTCCCACTCTCTACCCCCACTCTTAATCAGATCACTAACCTTAACTATCCTACTCTTATCTCCCCAGAAACAACACCTAGGTTTAAAAGAAGAATTATTTGGAATTCATGGAGAGTCCCAAACATTGACAGATTGCCCATTACCCACTTCAAATCGAGCACCTAGCTTAAAAGAATCCATGGATAGGAGAGTGTTACTCCTTTATGAATGTTGTAATGAAGATCATCTCAATCGATAATACAAACTCTCTATAAATCAAATATATATACACAAAATTAGGGTTACACATACTTAAAGATAACTCAATGCTAATACAGTAAAATACACAATTATACATAATAACAGTAAACTAAAAGATCATGGAAAAATGATACCAAGATAATCAAACAACAATAAATGGAAATATTTAAAAGAATGGTTATCTTATACATTTTAACTACTGCGGTTTTGCATGATTTACTTGTTGTATATAGAAGGTTGACTCCACTATAGAGTCAACTGTTGGATTCATATCAAAACTGTTAACTAGTGTACTCATTCATAGTTAATTGGAATTCTTGTATTGCCTTTTTTATGATTATGTATCCCAATCCCCAAACACATCTATCACCTTTGATCATATAATACTACAGAGTGCAATTCTACCTAATCCAATATTGTTTAATAATGCTGTCACAAAATCATCTGTGTTCCGGGCCATAAACATTTTTAATAATAAATAATAAACAATACCAAAATATATCCTCAAATCCAATTTTTCTATTAAGCACTTGATCTGCTATTGATTCCATGCCCACAGAGCTCAACCAAAAAGGTGTGTTCTATTTTGGAATGTATATACATTAGGTACACTATATTTATAAGTATTGTACATTTAATTACTAGAAAATAAAAATAACTTAATTCTAATTTTTTTTTTCCATTTATAATTCTACTGACATTTGGTTTGTCATACAAGAATTAAATAGTTTTCCTTTTATTGAAGCCCTGCAGGCTGGCTCTGACTGTATGATTCATTTCATTTTAATTTTTTTCCCCTTTTCTTCAAAATTTACCATACAAATTTTCACCAACTATCTCATGTGTTTAAGTTTTTGTTAGCTGGCCTTACTATTCAGAGGCAAAACCAACAAAAAAAGGGAAAAAAAAGTAAGGCCTTTAAATGAAGAAACAACTATGAAGATTATTTCATTTCTTGTGCATTGCGTCTTTCTCGAAGCTGAGGCAATAAAACTGTAAGTTTCTCACAAAATGGGATGTGCAAAATAAATTCCACAACTTATATATGTGGGTTTGTTTTATTTATTCACTTGTGTATTATTTATTGCAATTTTTCTAATACTGTATGTTATTTTTTTCTAGTGAATTTTGCAGGTAAAGATGAACAAATCTGCAGTATTTTCATCATATGAAGCTGCAGGTTATTGCAGCCATGACTTTGATTATCAAGCAGATTTTACTCAGGTTTTTGTAAAAACTTTATTATTTTGCAGTCATGGTGTTGAACTATTGAGTTATTAGTTTACAGTTCTCTTTTTAACATATTCAGTTTTTGGAAGAAGCAAAAAAAAGTACATTCCAAAAAACACCAACCACGCCACAAGTTAGTGAAAAACAGTTGAACCCTGCAAAAAAGAACAAGAAATCATGGAAGACATCTCTGTTTTTCTGGTTGAAAATCGAGAAGAAGGATAACAAACCCGGCCAGAACAGAGAAAAGGCCTTCAAGCCCAAAAACGGGCATGTTTCGGGCCCAGTCCACCTAACTACAGGCAAGAATACCGCAAGCAGAGCCCGCAGGCCCGCATCGGGCCCGCTCACGAGTATTTTCAGCCCAACAAAAGGAGCAGATGAGTATGATAGGGTGCCTTATGTGTGTCTTGGCCAGATTAGTGAGCCCCCCAAGCTTCAGTCATATGGGCCTGTTTACTTGGTCACATAGCAAAAGTTAGATTGGATTTTGAAAGTGTTGTTTAGATTAGTTGAATTGAGATTAGAAATTCTTGATTTTGGTGTTTTGGATGTTTGTTCTGTGCAAAGAATAATGTGCTTTTTAGTTGGCTCATAATGGCTATTCAAGCCTGGCTTTTATGATACAGTTGGGTTCAATCCTGTATTCCCTATTTGAGAGTCCAATTTTTGCTAATTTTTGCTTTTTTTGTTCAGTTGAATGCTTAGAGTAACTCAATTATATGTGGAATAGGGGAATTAGCTAGTGGGCCTTATAAATTTAGGAGAAGAAAAATGTATTTGGGGATATGATTATAAAGGTATAAACAAGTCGCCGAGCCGAGTCCAACTCGTTTATCAATATTAACAAGTCGAGCTCAAATCAGAACTTGAGCCTTAACAATTCGAACTATAGATAATCATATAAATATTTTTATTTTCGAGTCTTGCTCGTTAACTAAACGAGATTTCAACGAGTTCGAGCTGAACTCGTTTAAACTCAAGTCGAGCCAAGCTCATGAACGACTCGTTTCATTTAACAACTCTACGTATAATAAAGCCAATTTAAAATCTAGAAGAGTGAAACTACAATTTGGAATTACATAGTTTTGGGAATGATCACAAAGTATGCATCATATGTCTAAACAGGGAAATAAGTTTGCAGACCAAATGTTAAGGTATAATCATTGATAAGACACATCTAACAACATAAACTTAGCAACAG